CCATCAGCCACAGGTAACTGTTACACCTGGTTATTGACCATCAGCCACAGGTAACTGTTACACCTGGTTAATGACCATCAGCCACAGGTAACTGTTACACCTGGTTATTGACCATCAGCAACAGGTAACTGTTACACCTGGTTATTGACCATCAGCCACAGGTAGCTGTTACACCTGGTTATTGACCATCAGCCACAGGTAACTGTTACACCTGGTTATTGACCATCAGCCACAGGTAACTGTTACACCTGGTTAATGACCATCAGCCACAGTTTAAGTAAAATGTGTTCACAGACTGCAGCAGATTTCTGTGGCTCTATTGAATCACTTTAACAAGTCACMTTATGCTGAGTTTCCTGCTTCAGAAAAAAAGAACAAAGAAAAGAAAAACTCTGAATATCACGGTGGAACTGTATGAAGAAGGATGGTCAGGGAATGACCTCCCTTTTTCCAGTCTTTAGCTTCATTTTTATGTTTTGATGCAGTTACACTATAGTCTGCTGAAATCAAACCCTTATTGTGTTGTTTTTATTTAGGTAATAATTGTTTTAACTGTGGTGACAGCTTGTTGTGATTGACAGCTGCATCTCTGCCTCCCTCTCTCCAGAAATAAGTCAGAAACAAACAAACAAACAAACAAAAAAGAGGCGTTATTGCAAAATGCAGCCACTAAATAACATTTGTCAGATTTCTTTCTTTTATTTGTTATTTTTTTGTAAGGTGACTGACTCAAAAGTGGGACAGATGTGCAGTTTTTCAATGCCATTAATACCCCCGTCTTATAGTTTATAAGATGAAACATTTTTGTAAAATAAGTTTATTTTGTAGCCTATAAGCCACAGGACCATGTGACCCGGGTGTTAAAGTAGTGTTAAAAGATGAAACAATTGTTACTGTTGAGTTGCAGGAAATTGTTTGATGTGGCTAAGTTTTTGAAAATGGACTACAGAACTCAGGGGGATTCAGGAGGAGGACTCAGGAGGACTCAGAGGGACTCAGGAGGACTCAGGAGGAGGACTCAGGGGGACTCAGAGGGACTCAGGNGGACTCAGGGGGACTCAGAGGGACTCAGAGGGACTCAGGAGGAGGACTCAGGGGGACTCAGAGGGACTCAGGAAGTCCAAATTACAGAACATTTCTGATGGTCAGAAAGTCAAAGCAGGTTGTGTCTCTGTCCACTCCTGGTGGTCTCAGTTTGGATCTGCTCCTGTGGTTCTGCTTGTTGRTTCTGACTGCTTTTAAAGCT